GACATTAATTACTAAAGTTGCATGATCGGTTATTTTCAAATCAGCTTGAGTAACTGAACTGACAGAATCAAAATTAGAATAAACATGGTCAATCAAAGTTCTACTGTGCCGGGAAATACGCGTGCATTCACTTACTAATTGTTTTAAATTAAAGAAATCAGCTAATTGCTTCAGATGGTTCGAGTTGCTAGTATCATGCCAATTAATGTTAAAATCACCCGCAAGTATATTTAATTTACTAGAATCTAAAAATGTCTCGAACCAGTTCTCTAAAATTTCAATAAAACGCTGATTACTTGAACTGGGAGAATGATACAAAACACCATAATTACCCATCTTCATGCCACGTTCAACTGTAATGCCTAAGAACCAATTGCCATCAATAACTTCGTTTTGGCGAATATTGAATTGAACTGATTCTTTGACATAAATAGCAACACCGCCAGTGTGCCTCGAATGTGACAAACAAGCAGCAGCTTTATATCCCGGAATGCTATACTGATCAAAAGATTCAATTTCTACAATATGTGTTTCTGCTAACAAAACCAAAAGTGGACGATTTTCTTCTACAATCTGACGTAATGTTACGTAGTTTGTAGATAACCCCGCAATATTCAAATATAAAATCTCTAATTTACTCACATTACTACTGGAACTTGGTTGCTATTTATTGAAATGTAAGCTGCTTTTTTTCTGATCATATAGTTTTTTATACACAAAACAACTAGAACTAAATGCTGCGTGGTTGACGTCCAGATTTAATTTACGCTCCTTATTAGTTTTTAAACAATTAACGCATTTCAATACAGTTGACGTACACTTAGAGGTGCTATGTTGTTTGCTGCATCTAGAGCATCGTTCGCAATTTTTGCAATCCGTGCTTTTGTGCCCAAATTCTCTCCAAGCATCGCAAAACATTAATCGCGGGAACTATCGAGCACCGATCAAACCCTACATTTACTTTTTTCGCACATAACAAACATTTATACGTCTCGATATCGACTTCAATCACAACACTAAACTTGTTGTAAGTGAAGCGTGGATTTTCAAACATGTTAACTACTTTTACATCATTAATTGCGATGTCTTCATTTTGACTTTTTAAGAAGTCAATGAAGACATCGGAGGAATACTGATCGCTCATGCCCACCACTTTTAACATTGGCACCGATGTGGGAACAACAGCGTTGTAGTTTTCACCCAAATTGCTTTAGATAGCAGGTTGATCCGGAATTATTCTAAAAACCTTTAATTGATCAAAGAACTGCATAAAGTCTGCTGGATATTTTTTCAAGACATCAGGTTGATCAGGAATTATTTCAAAGAACTTCAGTTAATCATTGATCTCCGAAAAGTGCTTTGGATATTTTGTCAAGACTTATCGTTGATCTGGTATTATTCTGGAGATCTCCAATTGTTCAATAAATTAATGCATATTTATTAGATATTCTGTATTGAAGGATGATAAGGATATATTCCAAAATCTTCAGTAGATCAAAGTTCTTCATATTGTTATCTGGATCATTTCACAAGACTTCAGGCTGATAAGAAATTATTCTGAAGATCTCAAATTGTTAAATTGATCAAATAATGTCTCTGTGATATTTTTTCAAAATAGCAGGATAGTCAGAAATTATTCCAAAAACCTTAAATTTTTCAAAGACCAGCGTAAAGTACTTTGGATATATTGTCAAGACAATGACCAGGTATTATTCTGAAAAACTATAACTAGTCAATAGTTCAAACCATTTATCTCATACAATTTCACAGGATTGCTGGTTCATCAATCTTTTCACAGACTTTTAATTGATCAAAGACCTGCATATATTGTGAAGACTTTGGAGTGATCATGTTTTATTTTGAAGATCTTGAATTATTCAACATATCAAATCATGCCTCTTAGATAGTATCGCAAGATAGCAGGCAAATCAGGAATTATTTCTAAATCCTTCAATTGACCAAATACTTACACAAAGTCCTTTGGAAGTTTTGTTACGACATCAGGTTGATCAGGAATTGTTCTGAAGATCTCATACTGTTCAGTTTTTGCACAGACCTACTTTTGATTATAAAGCCCTCTAGATATTATGGTAGGCAAGACTTCATGTTGATCAGACAATATTCTGAAGATCTCTATTGTTCAATAACTAAGATGATGATTCAAAATATTCTCTAAAGATCGCAGATTGATCAAGAGTTATTTCAGAGACCTTAAATTGATCAACAACTCCATAAATTTTCTTTTGATAATAACATAATTCAGAATGATAGCATATTATTCTGAATATCTAGATATATCCAGTTATTCAAATGATGTATCTCAGATATTATGTCAAGATAGTAGATCAGGAGTTATTCCAAAGGCCTTTAGTTGATCAAAGATCTAGTTCATACAACTTTTTTGTTTATCTTAGCACTTACCCGAAGTACTCTGAAGCACGATGTATAAAGAGGAAAGATATGAAACTTTTCTGAAGCTAACAAAACTTTTCTGAAGCTAACAAAACTTTTCTGAAAATCGTTTAAATTCCACGAAATACGCAGAAGTTCTCTGTTTCCAATTTATTTTTATCATAAAAAATCACTGATCGGCAAAGCAAAGCACCAAGAGAATAGATTCCACGCGATCTTGTGAAAACAACTTAAAAGTAAGTAGTCTGTTTACATGCGAGTAAATGAAAACAACTTTGAGCGTGTTAACTCAAAATTAAGTTGGCGCACGATATTAGGTACTTATTTCTTTCCGTGTATCAACGGAAAATATACTGTGAAGCTGAGGGCAAGACAGCTTTTGATCATGAGTAATGTTTGAGTTAATTTTGAGTATGCTACGCACGGTAACACAGCAAGCTGTTTCTTTGTGATTAAGTGACTAGTGTGAAAGTACGTTCAGTCTATGGCTGATATCATGCAATATAGGCTGTCTTTCAAAGAGCACTCATACGTCAAATCTTAACCGAAAATCGTAAGTATGACTTTTGATATCAAGATAGTCAGCTATAGTCTGAACGTACTATATTGGTTTATTCTGGATCATCATCCTTCAATCCCATGACCATCATACCAATTATTTGTAGGTCTTTTCATCCGAATCTAATGCAGCCTGTTATCGGTGGAAAATGACCATAGCATTTGCAAATTCAATAAATGAGTCATTCTAACCGTCTTCTGTGGTATTTGCTGTTTATTTCATACGCTCTAGATAGGAACATATTCTAACAGTTTGACATCTTCATTGTGTTCATCAGTTCATTTCATCAACTCATTTCAACAGTTGGTTCGGTATCTTTGGTCCACTTTGACTACAATCATAAATAAGACCCTATTTTCTCGTGGTTCTAGAAGATTTTTTTTTTTCAAAATTCTACTCCACGCCAAAGTTCGAGTGGTAGGAATGTGATCCATTATAGAACCTCTGATTTGCTGAACACATTTGGCAAATTCTTATAAAGAACGTCTTGCTGGGCGTTACATATTTTCCATGTTGGTCCTTCTCTGGATATGGCATTTTCTACCTGTTTTCCATTTATAGCAAAGTTCTTGAGTTCCCCTTATCAGGGTAATTCATGCTGTAATTTAATTGATTTACTAACGATTTGTAACATGAATATAATAAAATAATAACAAAACGATCACTCTGTCACATTACATTTATTCACACTGTAATTAGTTTGTATTTGTTGATAAACGTTAGGTCATATGACTACTTTGATCATTGTTGAGTAATTATGAGTTGCTCAAATTTACTCGGTGCAAAAATATAAACACTTAGTACAGCTGGCTTGCCCCTAGCTGTGAAGCTTTTATAAAGCATGGCATGCTATGGTGGGCATGATATGTATCACGAATGCCGAAAGCGACAAGTGGAGATAGTATTCAGTAGTCAACCTGGATGGCCTTTTTCAGCTAATTTCAACAATAGGTCGCATAATCTTGATGGCAACTGGAAGTGATATTACGGATAGTAGCCCATCAGGTATCAAGAATCAAATAACCATGTAAGAGATTTATCTATTTTTCATTTATATGAGTGTTTTTCATACACATCAACGTAATTAAAGTGGAAAATCCGATCGAAAAATAAATCAAACGTGCCACACCACGAGCTTAGTAGTGATCTAACCATGGTACCTGCATTACGCTTTCTTCTTCTATCGGTGGCTTGGTTCGGTTATTCCATCGCATTGAAACCAACCACCATTTCATCAAATCAAAACCTAATTGACTACAGCGTCTCCGTAATTCTTGAGCATTCGTCCCTAAACGAGGGTATTTCCAATTGCGTTTTCTACGATCTGCTTCGAAGCCCTCATCCATATGACAACGTGCTTGGAGAAATTCTCACCTCACCACGCTTGGATCGCGTGGCAAAGTTTGTTCTCAACGTTTCATTTCACATGAGCATGGATAACCCTCCGGAAAACTTACCCATAAAACCGGACCTGATGGTCGTCCACCTGGGCAAACGGATCATCGAAATGAATTCGAGAGCTGAAATCAACACACTGAAAACTTTCGACCCGAACACAAAAGTGTTGGTGATAGTGAACGATCACAATGACTTCTACGTAGTGGTAATGCATTTGTTATTGAATTTATTCGGGTTCAACAAAGTGGCCTACATTGGTGAGTCACGCTCCCGACTGCTGCATCCGTATGACAGTGGACAGGTGTCGATTCAATACAAACTACCTCATCCTCAGGCACTGTTTCAGGATTCCCTACGAAACATGCAAGGACGTAGCATAACGGCAACCGCCGTACTTAGATCGAATCTTATATTTGGAGCCCATATCCAATGGCTAAGGGAAACGGCTCGTCATTTGAATGCAACCCTAGACGTTCGGTTCAATCCTTGCACCAATTTTACCAGGACCTGGGACAAATGCTTTATAAATTTTATTGTAGACAGAGGTATTGATATCGTGCTGACCCCTTTCCTTATGGGCGACCTACACCCCGCTTTCAATCGAGCGTTGTTTCGAGTGGTTCCGGACACAATGATTGTCCTGGTGCCGGAAGGTAGATTGTTGAACGTGACCGAAATGTACATTCGGCCGTTTACCTGGGAGGTTTGGCTCGTTCTATTGCTCGTCGTACTGTCGGCTGAGATATTGAAGATATTCATACCATGGTTGAAAAATGACCCCATATTGCTGGCCCTGTGTGGCTTCGAACGCTACAGTCTACATCGCGTTGGACGTCACGAGAAGTGGATACTGTTCACATTGATAGTACTCTGCTTCTTCATTACCAATGCATACGAATCGAAGTTCATTGCTCTGATGATAGAGAAACCGTCGGCCGAGACTGCTGAATCGTTTCAAGACTTGGTAGATCAAGGTATTGCGATAGAAATTGACGTGCGGTCCAACGCGGATATGCCAAAACACAGGATTCTAGGGCCCCTGATTGTGCACAATTCTCTTTCCTACTCGAAACTAAACAGAACTCGAGCATATCTTCTGGAACGGCAGCTAGCGGAGGCCTTAATGGCCTTGTCCGTCAACTACAACTTTGACCGACAGCGACCCAATTATGCCATCTTGCGTGAGACACTAGGAACGCGTTTAGCTATCTATTGGATGCCGTATCGGAGCCCGTTCGTGGAGTTGTTTCGAAGTTCTCAGACGAGACTGTTCGAAGCCGGAATTCTGAACAAGTGGAAAAATGTTCTCGGTAGCGCATGGATTGCGGATATTGGTGATTGCGACCAAAATGTGCAGTGTGGAACAGGGACAACTCTCAAGTTTGCGGACTTCGTTCCGCTGTGGGTGATGTATGGCATAGGATTGACGGTGAGTGGAGTTGTCCTTTTTGTGGAAGCAGTCATACAATGGAATCGCTAGAAACGAGATGGGATGGAGATTTTAACTGCCGCACCGGTTCCGCTTGGAATATGCATCTGGTTGTAAATTTTCTCGACTTCCCTGGGCACAGGAGTATAATTGTGCTTGCCTTAATGTGTGTGCTCAAAGAATGCCAAGTTTACACGGATAGAAAAATTCATAAAATGTATAAGTCAACTAATAAGCAGACGCCTTGCAAAAAGTTAATAAAGTCAAATGAAATGTATAAGCGGTCACACATACCTTTTATGCATTCTTATAGGACCTATGTGGTTTGTCTTATGGAATGTATAAGGCTGATGCTTTGGCAAAAATGGTTAAGTGAAACACATGAATTAAATAATAGATTTTCGTTTCGTGTAGAGCAGGCAAAATGCTCGTATAAGAAGTTTCAAAATGCAAGAGAATGAGTAGTGGGGCTGGGCTGTAAGGGTATGCAATAAGACTATTTTAAAATAATAGAGAGCTAATTTGGATATCCTTCCCATTCAGAGTCCATGTCTAGACAGTTTTGAATAGAAATTGTGTGGTTGCAAGGTTTGAATAGGTTATCTTGTTAATAACTGTTTATTACAAAAAAGTGACACAAATTTACGTAGGGTGCTACTTCGCCGTAATCGCCCATTTCCGTTCTATCGATAAGAAAAGATCAATAATATCAATGATTTCACTGTGCACAAATCAATAAAAGGCTTGTTGCGATGCGTTAGTTCATTAGCTACATCATAAATCCTGTTAGAGCGCATTGTATGAATATTTACGCTCATTGTGCTCAAAACAAAAGAAGCGCTCCTAGCGAATTCATTTTTTCTACGTGTATCCGTTGGACGAAGAAAATCTAATGGCGTTTCAATGCGTTAGGACGGCATTGAAACTCGTAGAACGAATTTAGAATCAAGAAGCAGTATTAGATTTTAAACAATATCTCAAAAATTTGTCACTCTTTATCAAATCCAACGGTACGTATGGAAAGGTGAATAAATTTAGAAGTCATCTGTGACAGAAATATTACATTTTTTTTGTTTAAACTCGTTCAGAAAAGAGAGATTAAGTGCGGGTTGTGCTTAGTAGGACGGAAATTAGATCAAAAACCCTACTTATAACAGTGCGGGGTAAGACCAAAGATGAAACAGTCGTGAGAAAAAAAACATTCCAATTTTGTGTCCTTTTTCACGGTCCCTTTTATCCCCCTTGAATACCTTATTGCTTATGCTGCCTCCTCGGTAGAGTTGATGTTTTGCGCATTTTTTTTCATCAAAACAATCACATCAAAAATCAGTAATGCCCCGATATTCTTTTTATTACTTGATTAATAACTAATCCAGGAACAAATCGATATTTTTTTACACTGTAAGGGTACCCAGGGTAACATGCACCGTGTTGGGGCAAGATGCACTTCCCTCGTTTTAAGCCGAAAATAAATTTTTACAACAAAATAGTTACCCTACAAGTAGAATGTATGTTTGCTGTGGACACCGTAGCAATTTGGCAGCTACACACCAACAAATTCTGAATTTTACTGGCGATGTAAACATCCATGCATGCAAACATTCATACATGTAAACTTCCTTTTCACGTAAACTAGCAGCTTGCAAGAAATGTTGCAAACAATAGTGGACAGTTGCATACAATATATGGAATATTGCGTGACATGTCTCATAAATTTACACGATCTTTAATCTAAACTTGTATGATATATGACGCTCCATTCATGACCCGTATTTTTATATTTTCTCATTAGGTTGACCATTTTCCTGTTAGGGTGGTCCAAAAAATCGATTTTTTTCTATTTTTTCCAAAAATGGCATTTTAAAAAAAATCATAACTTTTGAACCATTGAACCGATTTGAATGAACAAAATATCAAATAAAAGGTTATTTGTTTTTATGGTTTTCATGGTTTGTAGACAATGGGCGTAACACGTTTTTATATTTTTTTTAAATTAGGCTTTTCTACACAACATATCAAAAAATCAGCGATGTTTTTGTCTTCGTTTTTGAGTAACGATTCTTTGAAATTATCATGTTTAGAAATTTCGCTAATTACTCCAATACGACTACCTGCGTCTCCATTGATACATATCGAATGTAACATGGTTACATTACTTACTTATTTCAATTTCTGATCCTAGACTACCATGACATTCATAGAAACTTGAATCAAATTTATTGATTGCTTTTGCGTTATGTGTAAATAATAATTACTACAGTGGTTCATAGCATAGGAATTCAAATAGAATATATTTATATAAAATTTGGATAGTACATCTTTCACGGACTGCTTGGAACTCCATATCTAGTCCATATTTGGACTAGAATCAATGCTTTGATAAGACAATCTTATGGTTTCCAACTATGCACATGGCTGGTTTGAAATAAAATTCATGAATTTTTTATTTGTAGACATAAAACATGCTTAAAGATACTTTCAAAGTTTCACAGAATGTTCTTCTTCTGAGAACGAGAATCGTTTCACAATAACATAATTTTCATTTTCTGGCCTAAAACTATGATATGACTGTGTTCCGGAAATTTGTTTGACACGATTATAACGAGTTTTAAGTTTTCTTTCCATCGCTTTATGATCTGCGTCTGAAAAAAGCCATAGTGCATTTTTGAATCGATTTTAGAAATTGCCCATGTATAAAGCTCTTTAGCAGTTGTATTGAGATGCCCCTGCAAACTTGCTTTAGCAGCATTTCGTTTCAAGACTCCTCCCAAAGCATCACATGGACCTTTACCGTGGCATGTGGCGAAAAAGTTCCACTCCGCATCTATACCAAAATCCTTTTTCAAGTGGCACAAATTAAAAGCTGTCATCATATTTTTGTACTGACTGCCTGATCCATCTGAGAAAAAGTGAATTTTCTTAAGGGTGGGTATCTTACACAGACAACCAGACGTAACTCTTCATTGTGTATCTTCGTTCACGCATTTAACGGTTGATTTGAATATTATCAGTTCCGCGAACTACTCGCCGCAGCGCTGGCATCGGATTACTTTGACGTTTCTATACCTGCTATAGAACTTTTATGCAATATTGTTTGCGAGTTAGCGAGCAAGCTTATTTTCCGCGAGAAGCCCGAGAGATGTCTTTTTTTTTTCTTGTTGGGTACATTACCACTGCGACCATTTATTTGATCTATTGTAGTATATTCCCCGGTTTTTTGTTAACCTTATTAGGGTGAAAAACTACTATTAGAAGTAACCATCCACGCCTAACTTTAGGTTTATTCCCAGCAAGGAATTATGTGTCGTATGAAACGCACTACCTTACTAGGAGATGAACACCATATTTCAAAGGGCTGTAGTAGTCCCTTATCAAAAAACTTTACCCTTCTGTTAAGAAGTGCTGCACAGTTGCACAATAAATGTTCGGAGGTTTCTGATTCCTCGTTACAAAACCGACAAATATCATCATCAACTTTTTTAATTAGTCTGATATGATATTTGGCTGGACAGTGCCCTGTAATTAGTCCTATGTAAGTACATAGGTCTTTCTTTGAGAGGCTAAGGAGTATTTGTGTGTTTGATGCATTTGGCATCACAAACTTTCTTGATTGTCGGGCTGTGATAGTATTATTCCAATTACAATCTATCATCATCTTTGTCCAGCTCCTTAATTCCATCTTGATGGAGCTTGGAGAGACCCCACAGAATGGTTCAGGTCCTAGAAAATGTTTAGATGCTCCTTGCCTGGCTAGTTCATCAGCCTTTTCATTACCTTCTACTCCACAGTGTCCTGGCACCCAGTAGAGATTTACTGTATTGTTATTAGACAACTGTTGAAGTAACTGAATGCATTCCCATACTAACTTGGAAGTTCATGTAAATGATTTTAAAGCATTCAAAGCTGCTTGGCTATCAGAAAAAATGCATAGATTTGCATGTTTATATTTTCGCTTTAAACACACAATAGTACACTCTAGTATGGCTTGAATTTCAGCCTGAAAAACGGTTGGCCATCCACCCATAGAAACTGAAATATTAACACCAGGACTTGTCACACCAGCTCCCACTTTATCATTTTGTTTTGATCCATCAGTAAAGAATACAACTGATCTTGGGTGGATTTGTGGTCCTCCCGCGCTCCAGAGAGAGCGGTCTGGTTGTACCACATTGAACAGTCGACTAAAATTGAATTTTGTCTCCATCCAATCATTACTGACTGTAACTAATGGATTGATTCGTATTTGTTTTAATATATGTAGGTGTCCCTTAATGTTCCCTTCAAACATGGTTTTAGTTCGCTTAAGTCTTAGTGCGATCTTTTCAGCATCTAATTGCACAAATTGGTGTAGTGGAAGAAGATTTAGTATCGCATCTAAGGCTTTCGTAGGTGTGCTACGCATCGCGCCTGTTGTAGATACCGTAGCCAGTCTTTGCAATTTTTCTAGTTTGTTTATTGAACCCTTTTCCTTAGTTTTTGGCCACCATACTAATGAGGCATATGTAATTCTGGGTCGTATTATAGCCGTGTATATCCAATGGATCATTGCTGGCCTTAGTCCCCATTTATTTCCAAAGGTTCTTTTACTTATCCATAGTGCATTTGTTGCTTTACCTATGATTTGGTTTAAGTGTTGGTTCCAGTTAAGTTTATAATCAATTGTAACTCTTAGATATTTGACTTCAGGTGAAAGTTTCATTGATGTCCTTTCCATGTGAAGACCAGTTATTTTTATGTATCTTCTTTTTGTGAATGGGATAATATGTGTTTTTTGAGGATTTATGCTCAATCCTTCTGACTTGCACCACGCAATGGTGTAATTTATGGCTTGTTGCATCCTGTTTGTAATGACATCGTCATATTTTCCCCGAACAATTATTACAATATCATCTGCAAACCCAATTATCTCAAAACGCTGTGATTCTAGAATTGTTAGTAAATCGTCTACTACTAATTACCACAGAAGTGGAGACAAAACACCCCCTTGTGGGCATCCTTTAACAGCTCTTACTGAAATAGATGAGCTACCGAGCTCAGCCGGAATTTCACGT